CTCTTAAATTAATCATTTTACTAGAGATGTGTGTCATAGAAGCGGAATTTTTGGAATCTTGATATTGTTAGTCCAGAATTATCTTACTGTTATTTTGTAAAATAAAAAAATTCAGCGTGTGATTAAATGGGTTGTATACAACAAACTTTATTATTAAAAACATTGTAAATAAGATACATAAAAGGATTTCTAAAATTTCTACTTTTGGTTTTTGACCTGATTTCAATAATTTTAGATGAAAAATCCAGAATATATAGGAGACATAATTTCTACAATTTAGCGGGTTTTTTTTTTTGCTGAAATTCGTACATTAGTTTGCCAACGACAATCAAACATTACGTAAACCTTTTTACGAGTTTTGGCGTTATAAAATTAACGGTAAGATACTTCAAGTAAAAACTTTCAGATAGGGATACATTTCTCTGGATTGTGTTGTATAGTTGTTATAAATTTTAACCCCACGGGAAATTCTGACCTACTAATAAAATCTGAATGTCCCTTCAAGTTTTTTCGTGTGAATAGAATTGTCTTTCAACTCAATAGATATGAAGAGTTCTTTCAAGTCGGCGATTCAACCTATGACAGTCCAATAGTTGTCATCAATTTGTTCACATTTAACATCGACAGTACTTTTGGTTGCTATTGGCCTTACTGCTAGTTCTGAACCAACAGATACACCAAGGGAAGCAGCCTCAGCACACGTCTTGCCTGAAATAATTTTATAAGTTATATAGTGTACACTTATGTGATTCGTCTTCTCTTCCGAGTCATTACACTGGACACATATCCCAATAACGCAAGTATGTGTATGCTTGTCAATCAAACACACAAAGGAAGATGAGACAAGCAACATGGTGCAATACGCTGACATACATACGATACAGATATAGTCAGTGAAGAATTGCAGCCCTTTGATACAAGTCTGTACAGCAGTTAATATTATTTTCTGACCATCACCAAATTTAATAAGCATACCACAACATACACAATATTTTTACGAACACAGTGGAGAAAGAGATACTCGGCTACTATGGACATCACTCCATCAATTAAATTTATCCAATCATCACAAAAATCGATAGGCACCAAACTAAAAGTTAGTTAATATTATTTATTTCAAATTGACAGATTACAATCATTTGCCATATCACTAACAATTATTGCGTGACAAATCGATATTTTATTATATACAATCACGACCATTCTCAATAATTAAAAGATATTGTCGCCTCGCGTACTATAACTTTTGTCTCAAAAAAGTAGGATAAAATTTTAAAAAAAACTATTCAGAAGATCTATTCAATTCCTTAGAATGATTCCGGATCCTTACCATATTGACAACTTACATCCGATGTGTTCCATGTACCATCTTTTAAACAGACAATAGTCGAGTTCTGATAGGAGCCAGGAAGACAGTCATACAACATAAGATAACCTGGTAGATAGTCTTGATCAGTAGGCTGAGTATTGATATTTGGGATACTTGGTGGTGGAACACAGACTGCAAAGAATAATATAACTGTGGGCTCTGAAGGTTTTTCGGTATATGATCATTAAAATGTAGATCAAGTGGGAACTTATTAAAGATTATTAATTAAGCAGTTTGCGACAATGGGAATATTGACACT